CACTCACACACACACACACACACACACACACACACACACACACACACACACACACACACACACACACACACACACACACACACACACACACACACACGTGTGTGTACACACACACGCACACACACACACACCCACACACACACACACACCGCCACCACCACCACCACCATACTCTTGAGAGGCGGTAGACCCACGTTGTCACCGCCGACAGCAGACGCATTCGAGCGAACTAGTTCAAACGATACCGAAGGCCCGCCATAGGACAGCTGTTCGATGGCGGACCTTCGATCTCGTGTGAAACCAGCACGTCTTTTCTCACGCCCCAATCCCACCCGCAAGCAGTGCTGGCTCGAACCACCTCGCCTTCGAGCGGTCGTTCTCTCGGCACCTCGCATTCGAAAGTCCAGAGGGAACTGCGATGGCGGTGCGCTCGGTTGGTGTGCTCTTCTGCGAGGTGTGCGGCTCGGACCAGCACTACACTGGCGACCCGGAGTGCATCGTCGAGTCCGAGCGGAGGCCTTGTGGCAAGTGGGGGGGAGTCAAGCCTGATGGAACGAAAGTTGAGCATGTCGGAGTTTTGGGTGATGGTGAGGAGCCCGCTCAGACGTTCGAGCTCTCGCAGGACCTCGATCTCCCCCCAGGAGAAACGATGATGGTCACAGACGGCGAGGTCCAGGCCCAAAGGAAGAGGTGGTGTGAAGACAGAGAAGCAAGCCTACTCAGGCTCGAAGACAAGCATCGCAGGCTCATGCATCAGGCGCCGCCACCGCCGTCGGACGCAGCGGGCCTGCCCCCAGCCGACCCGCAGCTCCAGAAGTCGCAGCAGCAGGCGCCGCCACAGCAGTCGGACGCAGCGGGCTTGCCTCCACCGCCGCCGCCAGCAGCTCCAGAAGTCGCAGCAGCAGGCGCCGCCACCGCCGCCGCCAGCACGGACGCCTCTGACGCCTCTGACGAGCAGCTCCAGAAGTCGCAGCAGCAGCAGGCGCCGCCACCGCCGCCACCAGCCGATGCCAGCGGCGCGGGCGCCGCCAGCACGGGCGCCGATGCCACCGCCGCCACCAGCACGGACGCCTCTGACATCATGAAGAACATGATGGCTATGTTCCCCTCTGTCAGCAGCGAGGCGCTCCTCCCGATGGTGCTGAAAGCCTTGGTCGACAAGCGCATGGGCAAGCTCGAGGAGGCCGCGGCGCCGCAGCCCGCGGAGAGCAGCGCCAGCGGAGCAGTCGCGAAGCCAGCGGAGCCCTCGCCCACGGAGTTCGACAGCGACGAGGCCCCTCTGTTGGCACCGAAGGGCGAGGGGCCAACCCTTGCGCAGCTACCATCAGCGGAGCCCGCCCCTCAGCAGCCAGCGTCGGAGATGACGGCATCAGCTGAGCACTCTTCGCAGCAGACTCCTGCGGCGGAGCCCTCCTCAGAGCAGCCTCCAGCAGCGGCGCGCTCTGCTCCGCCCCCCGAGGCGGTCGCCCTGGCTGATCTGCCCCCGCAGCCGCCGCTGGCAGCGAGGCCCGCGTCCGGCGAGGATGCCGCAGAGCCCGCCGCGGCACAGGGCAAGTGGGGCAATATGCCGCCACCGCCGCCGCCGCCGAAGCGGTGGAGGCAGTCGCCAGCCGATTCGACGTGGACATCTGACGGCGAATCCGATGGGTCACTGACGCCTGCTGCTGGGCGCGGCCGCTCGCAGATGCCGTGGGAGCCGACGAGCGCCATGTTGTTCCCTCCTGCCAACCCCAGAGGGATGCGCAGAACTCCGAGCGAGGCCACCACCGCGGCATACACGGAGTGCGACAGCGACGACGACACCCGCTTGGTACCGAAGGACAAGGACAGCGGGGGCACGTTTGATCCAAAAGCTGGAAAATGAGGATGGGAAGGAGGAGGATAAGGATGAGGAGGATCAGGATGAATCGCAAGGATCCCTGCGATTCATCCCCTCGAGGGGGTGGAGGAGAAGATGGACGGAGGAGGATGAGGAGAACAAGAATGAGGTGGAGGCGATGATGAGGATGAGAAGGGCGATGGGTCGTTGAGCGACGAGGGCGGCGAGGGGGGGAAAGGTGATGGGGAGGGGGTGGGCAATCAGGAGGGGGAGGGGGGGGCCGCCCAGGACGGCAAACTCGCGTGCAAGGCCGACGTTGGGATCCCGCCAGCCATCACGCCCAAGAAGGTAGAGGCGGCGTTGCAGCGGGGCGAGAAGGTCGAGTTGGACCCCAACATGCCGTGCCCGAAGATCTACAAGCAGGACCGCGGAGCCAAGCGAAAATAACGCATACCTGCGTTATCTGCATCCACTCCCTCAGGAGGAGGAAGTGGATGCATCCACCTCCTCAGGGGGAAGTGGATGCATCCACCTCCTCAGGAGGAGGAAGTGGATGCATCCACCCCCTCACCCATCTCCTCATGAGGAGGTGGACGAGGAAAAGGGCGAGGAGGAGGAAGTGGACGCATCCACCCCCTCATCCATCTTCTCAGGAGGAGGATGTGGATGCACCCACCCCCTCACCCATCTCCTCATGAGGAGGGGGATCTACTGAGACGAAGCCGCGGGCACGGCAGGGAGAGGGAGAGAAAAGAGGGAGGGAGAGAGATCCAGAGAAGGAGGGAGAGATAGCACGAAAGAGAGAGAGAGAATAGAGAGAGAGAGAGAGAGAAAGAGAGAGAGCGAAGAGGGGGAGGAGGAGAGAGAGATAGAGAGAGAGAGAGATGAGAGAAGAGAGAGAGAGGAAAAAAGATAGATATGGCGCGCCCTCTGCGGAGAGAGAGAGAGAGAGAGAGAGAGGAGAGAGAGAGGGTGGAGGGAGGGAGAGAAGAGAGAGAGAGAGAGAGAGAGGAGAGAGATGAGAGAGAGCGAGAGAGAGGGATGAGAAGAGAGAGAGAGAGAGACGAGACGAGAGAGAGACCGAGAGAGAGAGAGAGAGAGGGGGGGGGGGGAGGAACAAGGGTACCGCGCTGTTGAGAAAAAACGCATTACAGGAGATGAAGCATCTCCTGCAGTGAGCCCCTCTCCATCAGCGGGCCTTCTCCTGGGCAGGTGTGAGTTTTTGTTTCTGCCATCTTTAGAGCGTCCTGGACGAGCTGGCCCGCGCGCAGAATAAGTTGCATATGGATTGCGAGAACAACGCCGACATGGGCGATTTGTCCGAGAAGATTCGCAACTTCTATGGGCTGAGGTGCATCGAGCAGTTGCGGGGGACGCAGGCGCAGACCAGCGAGGGTGAGACGCCAGACGCCAAGAAGGATCCCCAGCAGCTCGAGCAGGACATGTGGGACGAGTTGAAGAAGGGAGGGTTTTTCTTTGCCACCAGGGGCGAGAAAATGTCAGGCAGGTGGGCTCGCGCATTGGAGAACGACGCGGAGCTGGCCACGCGATACAAGGCGCAGATCGGCATGGTCAACAAGTCTGCTTTCCGCGCAGACTGGGCTTCGAAACAGTACAAGAAGTTTACAGAGCACTGGTCTAAGAAGGTTTCAAACAAGAAGACCGAGAAGCTCGAGGGGAGGTACTTAAGCCTGGCCAGGATCGCCCACAAGGAAGGAGGAGGGGCAGACGGGTTGAAGGCGGCCACAACGTATTGCACGAACTGCGTGTTGTTCGGGAAGCATTGGTGCAAATTCGACAGGATGACGAACACGCTGAAGTTCTACTACGTGGAGCACTCCATGAGCGACGAGTACAGCACCGAGTGGGCACACTGGCAGAACTGGACGAACGAGGAGAGCTCAGGTTCAGGCGCTGGCTCAGGCTCAGGCGCTGGCTCGAGTTCAGGCGCTGGCCCAGTTGCAGACGGCGCTGGCTCAGGTTCAGGCGCTGGCCCAGTTGCGGACGGCGCTGGCTCAGTTGCAGGTTCAGGCGCTGGCTCAGTTGCAGGCGCAGGCGCTGGCTCAGACGCGGGCGCCAAGGGCAAGGGCGGCCAGAGCAAGGCCGGCAAGCGCAAGCAGGACGGTGATGGAGATGGAGAGGGCGGCCGTGCAGAGAAGAAGCCGAGGGTCAAGTCGCCGCTCGAGATTGCCATGCAGGCGTTCCGCAAGGAGAAGGTGCTCTACAGGGGGCTCAAGTCCCAGGCCGCCAGCCAGATCATCCTCATCGAGGCGGATCCCACCTGGAAGAACTTCAACAACGACCAGAACAAGGGGGAGATCGAGCGCTTGCTGAAAGAGGTTCCTTGAGCCGCAAACGGAGAGGAGGAGGGGGGGTGGGGGGGGAGGGAGGGGGGGGGGTGGCGAGGAGTCTAGGGGGAGGAGGAGGAGGAGGAGGAGGAGGAGGAGGTGGGCGACTGAAAATGAGGAGGAGAGGAGGTGGGCCGAGCTCTCGGGGGAGAAGGGATGACGGGCGAGCCCCCGGAGGAGGAGGAGGGCGCGGGCGACGAGGAAGAAGGGGGGGGGAGGGGGGGAGGGACGAGGCGGAACCTAGAGCCAGTCGATGTTCTGGCGGCCACTCCCCCTCCCTCCTCCTCTCTCCTCCTCCCACTCCTCCTCCTCCTCCTCCTCCTCCTCCTCCTCCTCCTCTCCTCCTCCTCCTCCGCGTCCTCCTCCTCCTCCTCTTCCTCCCCCTCCTCGTCCTCTTTCTCCCCCCACTCCGCTTCCGCGTCTTCTCCTCCGCGCCAGGTGGTGTGGAGGCAGAAGGGGCAGAACCTCGATTGCCCTCCCTCATCCTATCTCACGCCGCGCCGCCCGCCCCCGAGATTGAAGACGTGGTGACGTCGACCGACCACCTGGGCGAGCTGCTGACTCTCGACGACGTGAGCTTGATCAAGAAGCGGGTCGGGGAGCAGAAGATGGAGGATGCCGTGCGCGACGGCAGCAAGGCTTTGAAGGAGCCTGGGGGCAGTTGGGCAGGGGGATTGGAGGAGGGATGAGGAGGGAAACAGGTTGGATCGGGGGCAAAATCAAAGGTGGATGAGGTTTGCGGGGGTGAGGTTTGGAGCATATGGACGAAGGAAGAGCACGGGGAGGAATGAGGGCCTTTCGCAAGGCAGATGCAAGATGTTGCGCATGTGCGAAGTGAGCGAACAAATGGTGCTGACCGTCTCTCCTCTCTTGCCCCTCATCTCAACCAGCGCTGCGAATCCCCCCCCCACCCGATCGCGACAGGAGCCTTTGTCGAAGTTGAAGGACCACATCGCGGGGATCCTGCGCATGTACGCCAGCAAGAACCAGCAGCCTGGCGCCAAGACGGCGAAAATGTGATCATTGCAGCAGCAGGGCGAGGAGAGAGGCGGCAGGAGGTCGCCAGCATGTTACGGTTTCAAGGCCTCTCGAGTTTTTTCTGTGAGTGAAATGCTGCATGCAGCACATCACTGACAGAAGAAACTTAAGAGGCCTTGAAAGCGAAACATGCTTGACTGCAGTCAAGCATGTTAAGGTTTCGAGGTCTCTCGAGTCTCTGCAATGCAGCGTGAGCTTGACGCGAGTGACATTTGAACATTAGCCGACGCCTCGAACACCTCTAAACACGATTCCACCAGGGCATAAACAAAATTATGCAGAATCGCTCAAGGAATTCACCGGTGAATCACCGGTGAATCACCGGTGAATTCCCTACCGGTGAATCTGTGATGAGGCATCGCCAACGCCTGATACATCCTCGCAAATCAACGCATGCCCCGGTGAATCCCCGGTGATTTTGCAGTGGTGAATCCCCAGTGAATCCCCAGTGAATCCCCAGTGAATCCCCAGTGAGCTTGATTTCTGCGTTGGTTGAGTTCGATTGTTGATGATTAATAACCAACAAACAAACTTGTGCCTCTCTGAAATGACCAGAACAGGAATATAATGCGTCGAAGCTATCGCTGCTACATGTTGACCCTGCAAGTAAGCGTAGTTCGAGCCAAGAGCGACCGCAGAGGTTTGTCGCTGGCGCCTGCTTAGCTGAAGCCCTGGCTGGGGTGCATTGCGAGGTCGGTGATGGGCATCGCCTGCTGAATGAATTTTCCAGGGCTTGCTGATTTAGCGTCGGGGCAGCCTCGCCCAGCAGGAGATGTATTTTTTGAGGCCGCGGCGTGCTCCAAAGTGGTAGAGGGGTCACGAATAGGCCGAAGGCACGCTTTCGCGTATTCCCTGGGGCCGCATTTTGGACGGCATCGAAACATGAAAGCCTTACAAGTCAGATGCCCCAGGAGCTTTTCGGAGGAACCTACTTTGGAGCGCATGCGAAGCCCTCTCCCTCATCCTGCGCCACCATCCAGCGGTATGCTGGTCACCGCCAGGAAGCGATTGCAATCTCAGAGCCCTTGAAGTGCAAATGCAGTCTCAGAGTCTTTCAAATGCAGCCTCAGAGCCCTCCAAATGGTAACCTCAGAGCCCCTCGGAGCCCCAGAGCCCTCCAAATGGTAACCTCAGAGCCCCCCGGAGTGCCAGTAGCATCGGCCATGTATCCCTGGAGTAGATCTCGGCTCAAATTGTAGCAACGTGTGGCCTATACATTTACAATACATGCCCCCCAAGAAGAGAAGGCGCCGACGGCGTCAGTCTGATGGCCCAGATGACCCAAGCTCAGATGTAACTGCAAGGCAAGCAGGCGCCAATATTTTTGAGATGCTTTTGGACATGTACTCGCAATGCTCACCTGTTTCTGCAAAGGATGTATGCACCATATGCCATTATTTGAATATCGCGGGCGTAGAAGGCGCCTATTTTGCAGATTTCGGCATGAAGCCTGGATTACAATCTGGGAAGTATAAGCAACATTTGAATCGCATGCTGCCGAGTACATGTCCCGCCACGAGAGTTGACATGCCTGTCTATGTCCGTGGTCAATCGCACAAAGCAACTAGACATGTACCTTTCACGTTGACGTATGCATCAGTGGCAAAAGAAATGCAGGCTTCAACCAGTTCCTTGTCTATCTTGGAAAATGGTGACCCCGATAACCCAGATTCCCCGTTGAATCTCCCATGCTACCTCGAGAATCCACTTACTCATAAATGTGTTGCGGAGACAGGAAAGTATCCATTGCCCTTGGCCGTCTACATGGACGGCGTGCGGTTTACAGCGCTTCAGGCTGGTCGAAGTGATTCCATATTAGTTGCTACGCTGGTGAATTTACTCACGCATAAACGCCATTTAATCGGCGTGATTCGGCAACTAGACATGTGCAGGTGTGGGTGCAATGGGTGGTGTACTGTGTTCGCGTACTTGTCATGCATCGCGTGGGTCATAGAATCACTCGTCCAAGGGAGAACACCAGACCGTAAATGTGACGGAAGTGAGTGGGGCAGTGGGGAAGAGCGGGGCATGCCTAACGACAGTGCAGACTTCGGTTTCCGATCGATGCTTTTATATGTGAAGGGTGATTGGAGCGAGTTCGCGAAAACATTTGGGCTTGGATCCTGGGGAAAAAGTCTGAATCCCTGCCCCCTCTGCTTCGCCGACAAAGCATGCATGCGCGATTCGTGCGCTGAGATGGGGGAGCATGGCATTTTATTCGGCGACCGCTCGCTGGAAGATTATGAGTATGCTTGCCAGAAGTGCGAGCACAGGGTTGCAGTGAATTCAGAGGCAGTGCGCATTCGGATAGTGGGAGCTCTACACTATAACAAATCAAAGAAAGGAAGAACAACCAGCGGGCGAGCCTTGAGGTTCGATCTTCCTGAACTGAATCTGCTGCAGGGCGATCGCCTTGAGCCTCACGAGGGGATGAACAATATCAGAAGCATCGATCGGGTTGGTAGCTGTATTCTGGAGGGTCAATAAAGATTTTGGGGAGAAGGTCGTCGATTCTGTCTCTCACCGCTGCCCTCTTTTTAAGCAAGAATGGGGCACTAGCCCAGCGACTTCAATGGCAGTGGACTCTCTGCACACGGTGTATTACGGCCCGATGTCTCGCCTCTCGAGCGCAGGACTTTGGAGGCTGGTGCAGCACAATCCCTGGAACTATGTCGGGGATAAGGATGCTGTTTACACGCAAGCGGTGCAACGCATTGAAGCTGACATGTTTCAATTTTTCTCTGAGACGTGTGTTCCTCATGATCGCAGGCTGGGGGCCCTCACTGTGAAAATGCTCGGGCCCGATCGTGGAATGATGGACGACGGGGGGAAGTTGCATCCTGGCACCATGCTCAAAGCAAAGGCAGCAGAGACGCGCATCATGATGAATTTTACCAGATGGGAGCTCCGAGGTTGTGGCGCGGGCATGCCATTGAGAGAGCCCCTTCTGAAAGCAATGGATGGATTGAGTGACTGGCTGGATGTATGGGACAACGCAAGCACTGTGATCACGGGCCCCAATATCAGAAAAACCTGGACGCTTGCAAGAAGGTGCTCATACATTCAGCGGACGCAAAGGTTTCATTCGTCCCGAAGTTCCACTTGTTTGCGCATTCGGCCATCAGGACCCCCAGGGACAAAAGCATGACATTAGAAGAGTGGTTTCGCATTGGGGGGGCTGGAGAGGAGGGGCGCGAGTGGGCGATGGGGCCCCAACTGAGACAACCCAGGCGACGAGGGGGTTTCGGATTGGAGGGGCTGGGGGGAAGTTGGCGTGGATGAGGGGGCCCCAACTGAGACAACCCAGGCGAATGAACGCGCCAGCTTTCATTCGCCCAGTGGAACTCGCACCCCGCCTCCCACTGCCCCCCGCGTGCCATTCTGTCTCCAGGAGCAAGCGCATGGGCAATGTGAAATTTTATTCTACGTTCACCGATGAATCGCTGAACTTGGTTCTCAGGAACTGCGCTCAGAAGGCCCACCGTTCGACGTTTGAGGAATCCATTTTTCAAGCCGTGCAGATCCAGGCCGTTCTGAATCCCAAGTTTGGTTTTTACGGGTCTGTCGAGTTGAAGCGCCTCCCCGCCGGACCATGGAACCCGGTGGGCCTAGTTTTTATTCACTGATCATCTTTGTCCACTCAATAATTTTTCTTTTGGTCCTATATTATTCTATTCTTCCCTTGATTTTTATTTTCTTTTTTGTTTCTTTTTCTCTAACCTTTTTGTTTTTTCTTTCTCTTTTTTCATTTCCTCGCATTGATTCACCAAAACTATTTTTGCTTTTTTTGGGTTGGTTTTCTCAATTGTTAGGTTTTTTAATTGACTTTCTTCTCGGCTTTTTTGATTCTTATTTTTCGTTCATCTATTTCTCTTTTTTTTGTACTTTTCTCTTTTTTTTTTTCCAGCTTTTTCCTTACATCTTTGTGGGTTCCTCTTATTCTTTAGCCTCCTATTTATATTTGTGAAACAAACGGCGTCCCCGAGTGGATCGTTCAGATGTGTGCCAAGGCAGCAATTTGCATTTCTGCACTTGTGAAGGGAGAACGTTGCAACGATAGGGAACGCGATGGAAGAATGCGCGAGGGGAAGGCATGATGGGAGGGAGGGGTTAGGAGGGAGGGAGAGATGGCAAAGAAGCACGAGGAGGAGCAATGGACATGTCAGACGATGTGGAAGAAAGCCAAACATAAAAAGCACACTAAAGGTCGCAGCAGTAGTAGTAGTAGTAGTCGTAGTAGTCGTAGTCGTAGTCGTAGTAGCAGTAGTAGTCGTAGTAGTGGTAGTAGTAGCAGAAGTAGTACTAGTAATAGTAATAGTAGTAGTAGTCGTAGTCGTAGTAGAAGTAGTAGTAGTAGTAGTAGTAGTAGTAGTAGTAGTAGTAGTACTACTAGTAGTACCAGTAGTAGTAGTAGTAGTAGTAGTCGTAGTAGCAGTAGTAGTAGTAGTAAGCGTGGTAGTAGTACTAGTAGTAGTCGTAGTAGTAGCAGTAGTAGGCGTAGTTGCAGTTTTAGTAATAGTGGTAGTAGAAGAAGTCGACTAGTAGTAGTAGTAGTAGTAGTAGTAGTAGTAGTAGTATTCGTAGTAGTAGTATGCTTAGTAGTAGTACAAGTCGTAGTAGCAGTAGTAGTAGCACTGGTAGGGGTTGTGGTAGTAGTAAAAGTAGCAGCAGTAGTAGTAGTAGTAGTAGTAGTGCTAGTACTAGTACCTGTACTCGCATTAGTACCCGTACTAGCTTTAGCAGTAGTGCTAGCAGCAGTGGCAGTAGTAATAGTCGCAGAACTTATAGCAGTAGTAGTAGTAGTAGTAGTAGCAACAGTAGTAGTAGCATTCGCAGGGTAGCGGTATACGCATCAGAAATAGCAAGCGCCAAAGTAGTACTATGAGCAGTGGTAGCGCTAGTAGTTGCAGCAGCAATACTAGGAATAGTAGTAGTAGTAGTACTACTACTACTAGTTGCAGTAGTCTTTGTGAAGATGTTGCTAATGCCAGTACTAGTAGTGGTAACACAAGCAGTAGTGGTGGCAATAGTCGCAGTAGCAGTAGTTATAGTACTAGTCGGGATAGTAGTAGTAGTAGCAGTAGTAGTAGTAGTCATAGTAGTCGTAGTAGTAGTCGTACCAGTAGTAGCAGTAGTTATAGTGACAATAGCAGTGAGAAAACTAGAAATAGTAGTAGTACAAATACTAGTAGCAGCATTCGTAGTAGCAGTTGGAGTAGCAGCATCAGTAGCAGTAGCAGTGCTAGTAGTAGTAGTAGTATTAGTAGTAGTAGTAGTAGTAGTAGTAGCAGTAGTAGTAGTAGCAGTAGAAGTAATATTAGTAAGTCGCCGTACTAGTAGTAATATTAGCAGCAGTCGTAGTAGCCGTAGTAGTAGTAGTAGTAGTAGTAATAATAGTAGTAGTAGACCATGTAGTAGTAGTAGTAGTAGTAGTAGTAGTAGTAGTAGTAGTAGTAGTCGTCGCAGTAGTAGTAGTAGTAGTAGCAGCAGTAGTAGTAGTAGTAGTAGTAGTAGCTGTAGTAGCTGTAGTGGTGGTAGTTGTAGTAGTAGGAGTAGTCGCCGTCGTGGTAGCAGTAGTAGTAGTGGAAGGGGAAGACGCAGTATAATCTCTATCGATGCTGACGGGGCGTCGCTGCCTCCCCCCCCCCCCGCCGCCGCGCCTCAGCGCGCTGGCTTCGACGGCAGCAACTCGTCGATGCACTCGGCGAAATCGGCTTGGCTGGTGGAGCAGTGCAGGGAGCAGGCGCAACACGCAAGGGGGGGGGGGGCAGAGAGAAAGGATTGCGCCTCGCTTGCGCCTGCAAGAGCAGGAGGGAAAGAAGGAGGGGGCGACGCAAGAGCAGGATGGCAGCATGATGATCTGACGGAGCAGGAGGAAAAGAGTGATCGGTAAGCCTGATGGGTTCTCGTTTGAAGGAGCGTCGGGGTTGACGCGGGCATGGGCTGGGCGGAAAGCAGGCAATGCGCCGACGAAGGGAATTACACGGATTGAAATTCCTGGATTGTCCTGGGGGGTGTCTCAGGATTGCCCCATGGGGGGTGCCTCAAGATTGCCCTCGGGGGGGGGGGGAGGGGGCCGCCGACGGCGCCATGAAATCCTGAAAACGTTTTCAGGATTTCATCGTACTTCTCGCCTCTGGTGGGTAAGGGGGGGGGGCCGATGAGCACGATGTGAATGGTATCTTTCCAAGCGATGCGATGACGTGGTCGCTTGACTGCAACAGTGCGCCACTGCGAACCCAAAACTTCGAATTGCATGGGTTGATGCATCGGCCGATGCATGTGCGTGCTGTTTTGCTGGTTTCTGCATGCTGCGATGCGCTGTCGGCCGACTGTGAAACGCTTCAAACTAATGCAAGGGCAGGGTCGATATGTGTGTAATTACACATATGCTTCAGCATGCGCTCTCCTGAATTCAAGCGCTGGTCAAACAAATAACTGCCCAAATCAAACATCCTCTTTCCCCCTTCAGTTCTGGTCCCACTAGCCTCCCCCCCACACAACCTATCTGTTTACAGTTGCGCAGGCTTGCTGAGCATCTCAAGGGGCACAGCCCCTGTAGAGGGGCGGAAAAGTATAGCTGCCGCTGGATGTCGCTACGCTCGGGATCTGGCCTTCGGCAGCCTTCTTCATGGCTTCCGAGGCTGCTGCCATCTGAATGCCTAGACCTGATATCGGCACGTGCATCTGGTCAGGCGGCGCATGCACTGCGGGCTTCGCGACCAGTGGCGTCGCCACTAGTGGCGGCGGGCCCGTCGGGAGATCAGCGATGGGAGTACTGCCCCTCGGGCGCTTCCGCTCTGGATAGATAACATGCACTGTTTCAAACGGATTGTGAACTTGCGCGTGGCTTTTGTCGACCCTCGCAAACCCGAAAAGGTTGGGGTCCTGGGGGCGCTCAGGGCACTGCGTGCGATTCTGTACAGAACGAGCCATGTGCTCCCCGAGCGCTTTGGCCAGGGTTCCAGCACCTTCCGACTGCTGCTGCGACGAGGGCTGGCCAGGCTCACCAGGCTGACCTGAGGAGGGGCCCTGTGCAGCACCAGGGGGAGGGAACGGTGGCGGGCGCGGCCGGGGCGCTGCTTTCTGCTTAGGCGCTGCTTTCTCCTTAGGCGCCAGTGGCTGCGCAGCGCCAGCAGCAGCTGCTGTTGGCGACCCAGCGTCACTTGATGCCTTCGGTGGCGTGTATCCCCGAAGGCGGCTTCCAATCGTCTGACCGCCAGGCGAAGGCTTGTTCAGATCTGCCTACTTCATATTGGTAATGAGGCCAACAGGGAGCGGCTGGCGACGCTCCACTTGAGGTTTCGGAGGGCGCCTGGCTGCGGGAGGTGCGTCGGCGTCTGCTGCTGCGGGAGGTGCGTCGGCGTCTGCTGCTGCGGGAGGTGCGTCGGCGCCAGCTGCGGGAGGTGCCTCGGCGCCAGCTGCGGGAGGAGTCGGTGGCGGGTCGCCAGCTGCGGGAGGTGCGTCGGCGCCAGCTGCGGGAGGTGCGTCGGCGCCAGCTTCGGGAGGTGCGTCGGCATCTGCTGCGGGAGGTGCGTCGGCGTCTGCTGCTGGAGGAGTCTGGAAGCCTTGCAGCGCGAGAAACCCCGTAAGTTTATCTGAAACAGCTTTGGATACCTCCGAGCTAATTGAAGCCGCCGTCGGACCCGACGGCGCAGCCGATGCTGAATCCCCGCGAACCTCGATCGTGAATGGCAGCTTGAAGTGGAGGTCAGTATCGCAGCTCTGGGGGAGGCCGTTGATGAAGATCTTGAAAGCAATGGTCTCGAGCTCTCCCGCATCGATCTCATGAACGGAGCTGCTTTGCGCCATGGCGACTGCGGCGCGTGAAAAAGACAGGATTATGAAGAACGCGCAACCTAATGAGCCAAAACTGGCTACTGATGATGACTCTGGGATTGTGGCTCTGGCATGTTCCACTCAATGTTTTCGTTTGTCTACTTGTTTCTGCTGCTACAATGGCGGTGGCGGTGGCGTCTCCTCCTCTCGTGCATGAGCGATGGCATGCCATCGCTCATGCACGAGAGGAGGATTCCGCCACTGCGCAATGGCGGTGTCCGTGGCGTTTGCTCCGTTCGTGTTTCTGTTATCGATCGCATGCGTGTCTTTCGAGATAGCGATTGTCTGGTCGGGGTGGGGCGTCGGTCTACCGCGGAAGATCGACGCCCCAGCGTAACATATCACGCGTGATATGTTACGCTTTTCGTTTCAGTGTTTGCGTATTGTATTACTTGCGTGACCATTCCCAGTGAATGCATTGCCCCTGGCCCCTGGCTATTTCCCCCATACACACGCACACGCACACATGTGTCTGGTGCAACGGGAACAGTGAGCTCGTTCTCTTTGGTGAGCCGAACAGTCGGAACTTCGAACTCGAAATAAGCAAGCAAAATACTCGGCGCTGGCACAGGCGACTGCATCGCTCTACCCCTCTTCTCATCCTGCTCTCTTCCTCGACCTCATCTGTCTACCCCACCTCCTGACAGGAAAGGGGAGAGGGGCGGTCGTTGCTGACAGGCGAGATCGTGGCTCTCGGACCCGATCCCCAGGGACCTGGATGCCTTCGAGCTCTGCTGCGGCTTCGGGGGCATCACCAGGGAGATCAACGATCGCGGGGGGCGGGCTCTTGGCATGGACAGGACCCAGTCGCGGGTTGGCAAGGCAGAAGCACGCGAGACGGCTCGGCGAGCTGGCCTCGGCGGAGGCAAATATCAGCCTCCGCGGGGCTGGCGTCGAGGCAGATGTCGGCCTCGACTCCAGCCCGGCGAGATTGCTTCGAGGCGAACGCGAATCCGCGCCGAAGCATTCTCGCCAGCAAAGCCCGCTCGCAAAGCCGCCGCGCGCGCAGGCGCCTTTCCGACCCGTTACCCAGGACGACGGGGCATCCGAGCGAGGACATCTGCGCCCTCCCAGGGATGCTGATGGCGCTCTACAGCGTGCTGCGCATCCGCCGCGGCGGCATGTTCTGGAGTTCGCCAGAATGCAAGACGTGGCTGCAGATGTGCTCTTTCCACACGAGGCGCCTCCCAATACTTCTCCTGCGCGCGCGCAGGAGAAGCATTGGGAGCACGGGGTGATGAGCACGGGGTGATGAGAAGGGGGAGGATGGAGGAGGATAATACGAATGATGCGTTTTCTTCAATTCCCCCCCTCCCTCCTCCTCCCCCCCTCCCTTCTCACCCCCCATCCCTCTGATGCTGCTCCCCCATCCACTTCCGCCCTCAACGTCCCGTCCTCAGCCCCCCTCCCATCGTCTCCCCCCATTCTCTCTCTCTCCCTCGCGCCTCAAGTACCTCCCTCCCGCAGCCCTCCCCCCCTTTGCTCACCCCAGCCCGCCCCCTCTCCTTCCCTCCCCCGCTCTCTATCCATTCACCCCCCTCGCGTTTCCCCCTTCTCCTGCTCCTCTTACCTTCCCAGCCCCCCAGTCGCAGGGCGCGCCAAGGGCGACCTGCTCGGCGCGGCTGAGCGCCTCGACGTGCAGGAGGCGAACCACTGCGGTTTCTTCCTGCGGGGGGCCCAGCCAGGGGAACAGCAGGAGGAACAGCGGGAGCGCGACCGCGGAGGAGGAAGGGGGCGCCCTCCACGCGCGTGGAGGGAGAGAAAGAGGAAGTGGAAGTTGAGGATGAAATGGAGAAGAATGAGGAGGACGACGCAATGGATGAGGGAGGGGGCGAGGGAATGGAGGGCGACGGGAGGGAGGGGCGGGTGAAAGAGAGGGCGCGTTCTCCATGGATTGGGGGGAAGGCATGAGGGATGCACGGAGGGAGAAAGGCAGGGGGGGGGGCGGGGGGGGGT